ATCCCATCTGCGCCCCCTCGACCAACAGAGGTGAAGGTGTTTGCTTGGTCTGCGCACTGGGAACCAAGGGAAGCCACACATACCAGCGAGAATGCAAGAAGTATGTGGTGGGAACAACTCTGGAACAGACGAAAAAAGCTGCGCGTGGAGGAAAAAAGGGACATCACCGTCTGCTACTGGAACTAGCGCTGCAAAGACAGGATGCGGAGCAAGAGATGGAGGCAGCGCAAGAAAGATCAAGTCCTTCTCGTAGGGAAGCTGCACCGGCATCCAGCAGCTCGAGCAGTACGACAAGCCCCTCACCACGGAGAAAAAGGCAAAAGAGGACAAGAGATCAACGAGACCTGGTACCGACAAAGCCAGAACCACAACAGAAGGAGGAAAAGATCGACGAGGCAGTGAATACCACAGGGAAAGAGAAGAGAAATCAGATACAGCAGGTTACAATGGATAGGGATGAGTCTCCGGACATGGTAGACGAAATTCTGGGGAGAACAGCAAGCAGCAGACAAGCAAAGACGGATATGAGAATGAAGGAGGAAAGCTGCGCCACAAAGCACATCCAGAGTGGGAATACAAAGCAAAAGTGCAAACAGGAAAATACAGAAAGGGAAGAGAAGAAGAAAGTGCCGCCGCCGCCCAGTGCCAGAGTGGACGAAAGCAGGATAGACGAGGAGGCGGTGGCCAGACTAGAAGAGGCCAGACTAAACCGAAGCAGGGAAGAAAGAGTCGGACAAGATGAAGGAGANNGAGAGGAGTCGCCGATAGGCGATGGAAGCACCACGGAGGAAGTGGAAGACGACAAGCTGGAACAGGATACCAGGGCAGAACCACATGACAGGCTGACGCAGCCCTCTGAAACTTGGCACAAAAACACCAGACCGGCGGAACCCCGGATGACGAAAAAGTGGCAAGCAAGCGAGCCAAGGGCCCGACTTGAAAAGGGGAACAAGCGCAGCTCAAACTGGATCAGCTTGCATATCTGGCAATGTGGCTGAAGGAGGATGACGAAACGAGAAGATTCTGAGAAGGAAGACAACCTGATCTGGAAGAAGACATTGCAAGACTTGCAAGGGAAATGCAGACGACGGATCTACAACTTGGGCAAGGTGCTACAGCGCAATGCATAGCGAGCAGATTGACTGAATGGGGACACGAGGAAGTTTTGGGAGAGCCATCGCAGGAAAAAGCGCCTGCGACAGTGTACAGCGGAGCCAACTTTTACAAGTGAGAGAAAGGATACCAACCGAGACCAATGTGGACAACGAACAACATGTTTTCAAGAAAGGGATAGAGACACCGCAACACACTGTGACAAGGATGTATGAGAGAAAGGGAATTAAGCATGCCGCCACGATCCCGACGCAACAGCCGGAGGGGGAAGGGTATACCGTGACAACTACCGTGACCATGCCAATTCGCGAGCCTGCAGCATAGACGGGGATGGTGGTTGGGGTTTGAGTTAGGGCCTGATATTGGGAAAGTCCTTGTTGCAGGATGCGGGAAATTCAGGGCCGAAGACGGCAAAATCCCAGCTTGAACCAATTCAGAGAAGGAAGTGTATAGGGAAGTAGCTGCAAAGAGGTAGAGAAATTCGAAGCACTGTCAGGGGTGTATAAAACTGTAGAGAGAACTGTGTAAAGGATGAGGTAGTGGACCACTTTGTAGAGGACACCTGTGTAAAATCTTCATTTGCTAACCTTTCCTCGGCTTTGTTCTCCGACGATTTTCCCGGAACAGGTTGAAGCGCGTTGGATGGGGAAATAGGGTATCAGCTAGGTACTGCCGGGATATGATCCAACGAACGCGGAAGCCCTTCCAGCTGGACACATCGACCTATTGGGCTGGAGGTTCGCCTCCGCGACACCTTCGGGTGTCGCATAGCCCGTAGAAGAAGAAGAAAAGAGAGAGAGAGAGAGAGAGAGAGAGGCGCGCGTGAATGCCAGAGCCGGAGTGCAGCCTCAACACAGTCAGAGCACTGTGAGGGACCGGCTTGATCTCCGCCAGGCTGGAGGGGTTATGTATCTTCATTGTGGAGTAGTATCCTGTGACTGATTGCATTTCACAACCTTTGATAGCCAGATGGAGGAGAGCAGAACTACGTGTCACAGCTTCTCCGAGACGGATGCTCTGCCTGACTGATGGTACGATACTTGGGCATGGAATGTGATAGAAGTCTGGGAGAGGGTCGATCCTCGACCTAATACGCGAGCGCGGAGACCTTTGGGTGTGGGGCTGGGCCCCAGGGGGGTCGTAGGACCTCCCATCACCCGCAAAGAAAGAAAGAAAGAGAGAGGGTGAATTTGCTGTCGCAGGAAGCCGAGGCTGACCGCGAGGCTGAAGAGATGCAAGAGCCAGAGCCACAAGAGGCGGTCTGCACATTACTTGCAGTGTTTTTTTTTCGCATGAGATAACTTGTGTTGGCAATGGTCGGAATGTTAAGTTTGTACTCCTGGCTCCTGCTTGCTCGAGGAATCTGGAAATATAAGGTATACAATTGACAAACCCAAACATGGAGAATCCGTTGCCAAGGGGTTGGCAATGTGTGCAACTGGCTAGAGGAATGCCACTTGCGAGCCTCGCTAGGCTTCGCCAGAATTGGCGGGGTGAGTCGCATCGGAGTTCTCAGGAAAAGCGCATGAAGGAAATGACATCTTACCCCTTGCACAGGAACCAGTTGTCAAGAAGAAGAAGGAGCAACAACCGTGCAAAGGGAAACCATGGCCATTGAAAAGAAGAGTAAAACGAACACGCAGAATTTGCTGTTAATGTGTTTGTATGCATACCCAAAACATTGAATGAATCATGAAAAAGGATTAGGTTGACTTCATGAACATGCGCGTGATCAATGGCAAGAGCCTTTGCCAACATGGTTTGAGGAAGGTCCTCGCAGACAATGCATTTCAGTATTCCGCAGACAGTTTACTGTATAGGGGTTCTAGATTTTGCGTAAAAGAACAGATGTACTGCCAGGGGTCCCGGGAACTTGCCAGTCCTTGTCTCCCATCATGATTCTTGTATCTTGCAAGTTAATTGGATGCTGCTTCAAATGATGCTTCTTCACTTGGAAAAACGCATTGTTCTTTTCCAGAGATTTCCTGGAAGATTTCCCGAAGGAGAATGTTAGTTTTATCCGGGTTCAGGGCAGGATTCTTCAAGGATTCACATAGAAATTGTGTTGTGTGTGTTTACACCTCTTTTTTTGCTTTATTCAGGGCGCAAGGTGTTCACCTAAGGCATTTCGGCTTTGCGGTAGGTTTGCAAACCTCCTCTCTTTTTCTCAGGATTCCTTTTTTCCTATTATTGTTACTGTTGGTATTATATTATTTCTACTATTACTATTACTATTACTACTACCACCACCACCACCACCACCACCACCACGACTACTACTACTACTACCACTACCACTACCACTACTACTACTACTACTACTACGACTACTACTACTACTACTACCATCACCACCACTACTGCTTCTACTGTTACTACTACTACTACTACTATCATTAGTATCATTACTATTATTACTATTACTATTACTATTACTATTACTATTACTATTATTACTACTACTACTACCACTACTACTATTCTATCAGAAAAGCTTACCCTGAAACACATCACCCATCCTAGCCCCATGACACTCTACCCCCCAAACCTCTTAATTGCATGTGCCCATCTTCAACGTGGTCATCGTCCATCTAAACCCGGGTTTAGGGTTTGGGGTCGGGACCCACAATTTTAGAAGCCCCGGTAGTTAAGAAGCCCTCCGACCCCAAAAAATCTGTTTTGGGCTGGGGCTTAGGGCTAGCTATGGCCTGGGAGGGTATAGGCTGTAAGTCAAATTGAAAAACCTCGCACTTGCCTGATACCTTGATCCAACCTCGCTTCCTGAGCCCTGAACAATAAACCCTGATTAGTAGTTTCCATTTCATTTTCCATTATCCCTATTTAACCCCAATATATACCCCGTTATAATATGATAGTTTCCATTTTCTTTCACCCTTAGACCCCCCAAAGCATTGATGTGTAAGATTTTGGCAAGCCCAGGGCTTTCACGGCCTAAGGGTTTAGGGTTTAGGGTTGGGTGTAGGATTTAGGAGAAAACTCAGATTGGTATATACGGATTCTAGCTTTTCTCTCAGCACGGGCGCCCACAAGGTTTCAGCCCTGAGCCCAGTCAGAGACTTTTTGTTCCCAATATTCATTGCGGGGTGCTAGTTGTTAGATGTCGGGACTCCCAGCACTCACTGCGGTGTTTCTTCCGTTGCAAAAACATTTGGGCCGCACTTTTTGAAAAGTGAAAATCACGCTCTCGCGCCTGACATCCTCGAAAAATCGTCATTTTTCCTGTGTTGTTCTAAAAGCTAAGTCCCCCGAATTCTAAAGTAGTCTTCCAGAGGGACTTTGATGCGAAGCGGCCGCAAACTTTAGATTCTTTTTGATTTTTTTCTTCAACCCTGATATACTATAGTAGCCATAGAACTTTAATATACTCTAACCTTATATTATATCCCCAGTTTCCATTTCATTGTCTTTTTGATTTTGCTAATTGGGGTAATATCCTTAAACCCTAAACCGTTAACTCTGGTGAGGCAGCAGCAAAAAATCCTAGAGTCGTAATTTCTTGGTATTATATTTGGTTTTTCATATTCCCCTCAACCCGGTTTTCGGGATTTTGCCGGGATTTGCCCGGGAAAATTTCGGGAAAAAAAATTGGGATAGCCGCGCCGGCGACGGCCTATTTTCGGGAAAATACCGGGAAAAATACCGGGAAAATGTCGGGACAATGTCGGGAAAAGTTTAGGATTCTCCGGGATCTCAATTGGATGACACCATTTCCGGATATTTCCTGCTTACATCCCGAGGTACTACTCCGTGAAGGCTTCTGGGAAAATTTCGGGAAAATCTCGGGAAACGTTTAGAATTCTCCGGGATTTCATTGGGATTGCACCATTTCCGGATAATTCCTATATGCGGAATCTAGTAAATGGCAGTCCATTGCAAACACTCTCACATCAGTAAATCCATCAGTAGTAGTATTGTTTGAACTATTTTAATAATTATGATTAATGGCAGTAGTATTTCGAGTAGTGCAATAATATTACTATTACTAGATGAGTAATATATAATTCAAGTACACGAACGACGCCAGCGCCGTCACGGCGCCGTCAAATACTAGTTGTCATGCTGGCATTATATTTGTAATGTTAATGCTCATATGTCATAGTAAGAAAACTATAGAGCGGCGCCGTCACGGCGCCGATGGGGTGCCATCATTGTACTATTCTCATTACTAAGACGAATTTGAGTACTGCTAGTACTAATACTTATGCTATTCCTGCTAATAAGACACTGACATTATTTACTCACCTATTTCATAATAGGAAAACTACACAGCGGCGCCGTCACGGCGCCGATCGGGTGCCATCACCACGAATGTTATGATTACTAGGACGACTATTACGGTGCCTACTTTTAAATATGTGGAGGGCGGCCAAAGGCTGGTGCCCGCAGAGGTAGTATAAAACATCTGTTTAAATCCGGATGTTTAAAAGTTGGTGTCAGGCTCTGAGACAGTGGGCCTTCCAACCTTCCAACCCTCCAACCTTCCCGCCACTCCAACCCTCCA